AACTTTGGCTATGTACAGACACAGTCTGATCATACTCTTTTTGTGAAGAGAAGTGGTACCTCTGGTAGTATACCTCATTGTGTATGTAGATGATATTGTTGTGATTGGTAATGATGTTTCAGGAATTCATGATCTAAAATCTTTTCTCCATACAGAGTTTGAGATTAAAGATTTGGGRGAATTGAGATACTTCCTTGGCATAGAAGTTGCTAGATCCAAGGATGGGATTCTTATCTCCCAAAGGAAGTATGTTCTTGACTTGCTCTCTGAAACTGGGAAGATGGGTGCTAGACCAGTTGCTACTCCTATCGATATGAGTCATAAACTCTCTGCTTCAGATGGAACATTGTTAGAAGACAAAGGAGTCTTCCAGAGACTTCTTGGGAAACTTCGGTACCTATGCATGACTCGGCTAGATATTGCATATGTTTTCAGTTGCATTAGCCAATTCATGCATGCTCCCCGAGACACTCATATGGCAGCAGCAGAGCGAATCCTGTGTTATTTGAAGGGCTCCCCAGGAAAGGGAATTCTGTTTGCCAAGCATGGTCATATGAAACTTGAAGCTTATACTGATGTTGACTGGGCTGGAAAATTGATGACAGAAAATCTACTTCTGGGTATTGCAGCTTGGTGGCTGGTAATGTTGTTTCTTGGAGAAGCAAGAAGCAATCGGTTATTGCTTGATCTTCAGCAGAAGCAGAATACAGGGCCATGGCACATGGAGTTTCTAAACTATTGTGGCTAAAATCATTGATGGAAGAACTAGGGGTTGAGCATGACAAGCCAATGATGTTGTACTGTGATAATCAGGCCGCCATCAACATTGCTCACAACCCAGTGCAACATGATAGAACTAAGCATATTGAAGTCGATAGACACTTTATTCGAGAAAGGGTCTCTTCGGGTGAAGTATGTCTTCCTTTCATCACATCTGAAGGACGTTAGCAGATTTTCTCACCAAGGGCATTCCCAAGGCAAAATTTCAGCATGATACTAGCAAGCTTGGCATGATTGACATCTATGCTAAGCTTGAGGGGGAGTGTAGAGAAGATGGGTCGAATGGCCCATAGGCTGTTTATCCTTTCTTACTGTTTATGTTCCTTTTTGTAATGGGCCTTATTTTGGGCCCATCCTTTCTATGTTACGTTCTTTGTAATTTCTTGCCCAACTAAGGGCCTCCTTGTAATTATTCAAATTTAACTTAATAAAAATAGTGTTAGGGTGTTAGAGAGAGAGTAAGATTCGAAACTCTCATACTCTAAACCCTTATTGCCACCATCTCCTTCTTCACCTTCTACTCCATAGAAGAAGTATTTTCTGTTGTTTTATCGATTTCTTTTGATTTCTGCATCTATTCCAAACAGTCCCACACTCTCAAAGACTGTTTTTCTTCTTTGGGTAATGGGGTGTTTGGTAGTGCATGACCTGACTCCCTTTCTTTTTTTTTTTTTTATCAATAACACTTTCATTAATTCATCAGTAGAAAATTTACAAGTGGAAGACAAACACACTTACCTTCCAAGAGTCACAAAGAGCTTCAAGAAAGGAAAAAAAAAAAAAAAAAACACTAACGTTACAGCTTAGCCCAAAACAATGAATCCCTTTTTGCCCCTTGTTTAGCTAAACCGTCAGTTAGGGAATTAGCCGATCTTTTAATCCAACATGTCTTAACTTCCATCTCCCACATCAGCCACTTGAATTTCCTCCTCTCATTATTGTACTTCTATAAATCATTTTGATCTTTAGTCAGCCACCCTATCACCACCTATGAATCCCCTTCAATTATGAGTTTCTTGATGTTCAATTCCTTAGCTTTCCAGACTTCTTCCATAACTGCAAAGATCTCAGCTCTAAGGGAGTCACCCACTCCAATTGGGCCTGAGAACATAGCAGAGATGACCCCATTTTCATCTCTAAAAACACCCCCGATCCC